AGGGTGGATGGAGCAGAGGTCCGACAGGAGTTTGAGAGTGAAGGAATGGGATCCAAGCTGAGCAATGATTTTGAACGGTCCTAGGAATTTCTCAGCAAATTTCGCAGTAGAGCGAGTAGTTCTGATATGTTTGGAACTGAGGTAGACTTTGTCACCTACTTTGAAGTCAGGAGCCGGGGACTGTCACTTGTCCGCTTGGAATTTGTAATGGGACTGAGCATAAGTGATTTCATCTCGAAGGAATTGGTGGAGCTTGTCGAGGTTAACGATGAAGTCATGGGCCCGAGTGGAGGCGATGTTGCATTCAGGATGCATGGTGATATTAGGATGATAGCCTTTGTTAGCAAAGAATGGGGAGATTCTGGTGGAAGCGTTGGGAGCATTGTTGTAGGCAAACTTGGCAATGGATAGTAAGGTATCCCAATTGTCTTGTTGGTAGGAGCAGTAGATATGGATATACTGTTCCAGAGTTTGGTTAGCACATTCAGTTTGTCTGTCGGCCTCTGGGTGATATCTGGAAGTGAAGTGAAGTTCCATATCCAAAGCTTTGGCAAGAGCGTGAGTGAACTGGGAGACAAATTCAGAGCTGCGGTTGTTAAGCACTAACTCAAACCTTCACCAAAGCTGGTCTCTATCCTGTCACTCGCATTCGGTGATTCAGTGTTAGAGAGGTGTTGGTAGATTGCGAGAAGTTAGGCATCACTTTATAGCGAAAGCAAGGAGCTTGTAAGAGTTAGGAGTATATAACCTTAGCCGAAGCTGGGGTCTAAGGCCACAGCGTAGGCTAGCTTAAATACATGTTAGACTCATACTAAGAATAGTGTCTACAAGGGCGCATGCAGCGAGAAGTGCGTCGTTCAACGAATGAGGAGTGAGGACACTAAAAGAAGTGTACTCCCGATGAATGAGAGTAAAGAGCGCATATCACCTGCATCTGCATGGGACCCTGTCTGAATAGGCTGCATCCCATAGACCGCCCTCGACTGGTGGTCGACTCTCATCCAACTACTAAGAAGCATGATGCCATCAAGAGAAGTGTGATAGCACATGTGGGTCACTGGTCATCTGGGAGGCGGCAGCATGAACTGGGGTGACGGCAGCCAGGTAACCAGGTAAAGAGTGTGCTGGCGGAATATCATGGGTCCAGGAGATAAGATAGGTAGGTTCAGGATTCTGAGAGATAAGGATAAGATAAGATAAGGAAAATAGGGGTAAAACCATAATAATACCCCCCAACTAAGACTGTCATCCCGACAGTCCTTTAGACATACTCACTCCCTGAGTCAAGGGAGTTAGTAGATTCCGTATCCCATTTGTAGTCCTTGGTTTGTTCCCAAGCAGACATGCCCCATTCTTCTTGACGGAAGCTGGGGTTGGTCTGAGTCATTAGAGGAGACTCGGAACGCTCGTCTTCGAAGACGTCTTCATCCATGTCCAATGAATAATAGCCCTGCTCATCAAGGAATAATGGATCGGTATGATTCCTGCTCGACACTGGAAAGAAAGTTGAGCTCTCGGTTGCTGAAGAGCCAGGAGATGATATGGTTATGCATCTTCCTTCATTTTCCAAGTGTCGCAAATTGTGATCCTGTACGTGGTCTTCCTTGTTCTCGTATCCCTTGACAAGTTCTTCGGCATTGGCGAGATTGCTCCTCTTGACCCAAGTAGCTTCCTCCACTGGATATCCCTTCCATTTGACCAAATATTCTGTTATGGTCCTCCGGCTGTGTCCTCGACCGACGACGCAGTCGTGGTCCTGAAGTAGTTCCTCTACTTCATACTCTTCCTCGCCTTCCACGAGTTCCGGCTCGGGTGGCGGAGGTTTCTCCTGGTTGGAAAACTCTGGGGGGATGTACGGAGTTAAGTATTGTTCATTGAACTTGTTGTGGATCCTCCATCCTGGCAGCAGCTTTAGTTCGTATGCGGATGGCCCCTTTTTGGAAATTACTTCAAAGGGGCCAACACGTTTGTTGCCTAGCTTTTTTGCCAGTCGGGGGAGGTGAAGGTTGGTTGAGTCCAACCAGACTTTATCTCCTGGTCGGTACTCCTGCGCAGGGCGAGTGTGTTTGTCGTAAGCCTTTCTCATAACTTCGACGGCTCTATTCAGAGAGTCTTCGGCTTGTTTGCATACTCTCTGGAGGCTTTCGACAAAGTCAGTTACCAATGGTGTTTCTGACTGCCTCACCACGGTTGGGCGAATTTCCCCATCTCGTCCATAGACTACTTTGATGGGAGAAAAGCCCATTGCAGAATATTGGTGATTGCAGCCTGGTCTGCTAGATTTCTGTTTGAAAGGTGTTAGTTGACAGTTAATTGTGATACATCAGGAGTGTCAGTTTACATCCAGCCCATATACAATAATTCCATCAGGATGACAAAGTGGCTTAGTAAGCTTCCCAATCTGTGTCAATGATGGCATCATTAGAAAAGAGGGCAATTTCAGGAATTAAACCTGGGACCTCAATAATAAATCCAATAATGTCACATAACTTTCTCAAGCAGGCATGCTAACCACTATACCATACTGGCATTATATATGTATCTTTTCATCTCTATATATACCTCCCTCCCTTAACATTTATGACCTCATATTGATGCCCTCCCTTTGCTCCGCTCTGGTGCGCTCTTTTGCCTTTTTAGGCTCCCCAAATCAGCCCATCAATTTTGGCTGGATCCAGTGGCAGTGCCGCATTTTTAATACCCAAAATAGGGGCTATTTTCCGGTCAAAATAGCTATTGGGCTATTCTCAGGCTACTGGCTGGGCCAGGGGATGGCACTATAATCTGTATAGACATAAACAACATAAAATAGAGCCCTCTAATGATGCATAGGAGCCCTGGATAGTGGGATAAAAGGGTAATATAATGAAAATCGCATAAATATTCGCTTTTGGGGGCTGCTGCATGCATTGGATCGGCTGGAGGACTTTACCAATCGATTCCCTGACCTTGAAAACACCCAAACGACACCTCCACAGTACTTTTGGCACACTTTATTCCTGGAGATAAACGAAAATATTCGCTTTTTAGGGTGCAGCATGCTCCAGATCACTTTGAAAACATGACCAGTCGATTCCTATGCTATAAAAACCCTAGAATACATCCTCCTTCGTAATATAGGTCCAGTATAATACAGTATAAAAGGGGGTATTAGGGGGCATACATCGCTTATTTTGTTTTTCGCACTTAGGATGGCCTGGGGAGCATCACCAATGGATTCCCTGATATTAAAAACCCCAAAACGACTCCAGCCTTCATTTATAGGGTCTCAAAAACGACAGAAATAATGATATTACAGTTTAGGAGGAGCACATGTAATAAATCCTATTTCTGGGCTTCGGACCACTTCGGAGTTTTGTCTATTGTGTTTATTGACCTGAATAACACTCAAATGACCCCACAGGACAAAGGAAACCATCAGAAATACGTGATAAAAAGAGTAATAGGGGGATGGAGGAGACATACCTTATATTTCGCATTTCTAATAGTTAGGGAGGGTATTCTTGTTATATAACAGACTGTATATATTGTACAATGGTGTGTACGAAGCCCCATGGATATCCGAAATGTATTGAATGAGATATGAGCAGATCATTCTGTAAAACAGGAGGAGCACATCCCATATTTCGATGTTCTGCTCATTCTATGGCCTGGGGACTATCAGAATCGGATTCCTTGACCCAAAAAACAGTAGAGGCACTTATCATCCATAGGAGCCATTTTACCCAGATAACACATACAGCCATATGTAGCTACAGGACAATATAAGTAACAAATGAGAGAACATCTTGTACTTCGGAGTTTGAACATCTGAATACCATGGATGATAAGTGCCTCTACTGTTTTTTGGGTCAAGGAATCCGATTCTGATAGTCCCCAGGCCATAGAATGAGCAGAACATCGAAATATGGGATGTGCTCCTCCTGTTTTACAGAATGATCTGCTCATATCTCATTCAATACATTTCGGATATCCATGGGGCTTCGTACACACCATTGTACAATATATACAGTCTGTTATATAACAAGAATACCCTCCCTAACTATTAGAAATGCGAAATATAAGGTATGTCTCCTCCATCCCCCTATTACTCTTTTTATCACGTATTTCTGATGGTTTCCTTTGTCCTGTGGGGTCATTTGAGTGTTATTCAGGTCAATAAACACAATAGACAAAACTCCGAAGTGGTCCGAAGCCCAGAAATAGGATTTATTACATGTGCTCCTCCTAAACTGTAATATCATTATTTCTGTCGTTTTTGAGACCCTATAAATGAAGGCTGGAGTCGTTTTGGGGTTTTTAATATCAGGGAATCCATTGGTGATGCTCCCCAGGCCATCCTAAGTGCGAAAAACAAAATAAGCGATGTATGCCCCCTAATACCCCCTTTTATACTGTATTATACTGGACCTATATTACGAAGGAGGATGTATTCTAGGGTTTTTATAGCATAGGAATCGACTGGTCATGTTTTCAAAGTGATCTGGAGCATGCTGCACCCTAAAAAGCGAATATTTTCGTTTATCTCCAGGAATAAAGTGTGCCAAAAGTACTGTGGAGGTGTCGTTTGGGTGTTTTCAAGGTCAGGGAATCGATTGGTAAAGTCCTCCAGCCGATCCAATGCATGCAGCAGCCCCCAAAAGCGAATATTTATGCGATTTTCATTATATTACCCTTTTATCCCACTATCCAGGGCTCCTATGCATCATTAGAGGGCTCTATTTATGTTGTTTATGTCTATACAGATTATAGTGCCATCCCCTGGCCCAGCCAGTAGCCTGAGAATAGCCCAATAGCTATTTTGACCGGAAAATAGCCCCTATTTTGGGTATTAAAAATGCGGCACTGCCACTGGATCCAGCCAAAATTGATGGGCTGATTTGGGGAGCCTAAAAAGGCAAAAGAGCGCACCAGAGCGGAGCAAAGGGAGGGCATCAATATGAGGTCATAAATGTTAAGGGAGGGAGGTATATATAGAGATGAAAAGATACATATATAATGCCAGTATGGTATAGTGGTTAGCATGCCTGCTTGAGAAAGTTATGTGACATTATTGGATTTATTATTGAGGTCCCAGGTTTAATTCCTGAAATTGCCCTCTTTTCTAATGATGCCATCATTGACACAGATTGGGAAGCTTACTAAGCCACTTTGTCATCCTGATGGAATTATTGTATATGGGCTGGATGTAAACTGACACTCCTGATGTATCACAATTAACTGTCAACTAACAGTGTTTAATGTATCAAAGTTAGGGTTGCGCATGAAATCTCCAGGGGGGGTAAGTAACCGTTAGTTACTGACCTCTCCCTGAGGGGGTGGTTTTGCTATGGTAAGTTACCGTTACTTACTGGTCACATGATCTCTCACATGACCATTTTGCGCTAGCTTTTTTTTGACTTCTGCACTACCGCCAGCGGTGGGTAATTTTAATAAAATAGTGCAGGCAGAAGAGGGATCAAGATAGGCTGGACAGTTGGATAAGGATGAGGGAACATCTGGGGTGAGGACGTGGTGTTCAGAGACAGGCGGAATGATAAAGTCAATGATGTCTTTAAGTGTAGCAGTATCCGATGGTAACAACGATGAATAGTCTTCAGGTATAACAGCGTGCTTCTCTAAGGAATTGACTAGCTGATGATCCGGAGTTGGCAGCGCCATGGTGGGGTTACTATTCCTTGGTAGGGAAAATTGAAAAATTTTGCTGTAATATTACCATGTGACTGGTAAGTTACCTCGACAAAATACCCTCCACTGATGGGGGTGTAACTTACCGGGAATAAACCCTGGTGTATCAAAACCTAGGGTTTCGTGTGCAACCCTAATCAAAGTAGCAGCTACAGGTGGCGGTTGTTGTGAGCGAATGCTGCCCATTGCAGCTATTTGCTCCAGTCGTCCTGTTTGTGGTTGATGAAGACTCAAAGATACTTTTTGAGTTCTTGGTTAACTCGCTCTGTTTGTCCATCCGTCTGAGGGTGATAGGCCGTTGATGGGTTTCCCTGAATATTCATCATTGCGTATAACTCAGTGATGAATTTCAAGATGAATTGTGGGCCTTGGTCCGAGATGACTTTGGAGGGGGTAACTCCAAATCGACAAATAATTTCGTCGTGTAGGATTTTGGCCCACCCACTTGATGAGAGTTCTTTCGTGCATGGGATCAGCACAATGTATTTCAAGAATTGGTCTACGATGACTAGTACTGCGTCATAGCCCTTGGATTCTGGAAATCTGGTAATCATGTCAACCAAGATGTGTTCCCAAGGTCGAGATGGTACAGCATTGGGATGTAGTGGAGCTGCTTTCTGCTGCGTATCGGTTTTCGTCCTTTGACACGCTTCGCATCCTCGTACGTAGGTTTTCATGTCTCTTCGCATTTTAGGCCACCAGTAGTCTCTTAAGACTAATTCTTTGGTTTTTTCGATGCCTGGGTGTCCTGCAGAGACATGATCATGATGATGGGAGATAAGTTCTCCCTGTAGGGTGTGGTCACGGGGGACGTAGATATGTCCATCGTAAAATAGGAGGTGGTCCCTTTCGATGACCCCCTTCTCATGGTTGAGGCTTGAAGCGATCCCTCGGTCCCACCATTGGTGATCACTTGTCGCTCTCTGAATTTTGCCATGAATCTCTTCCTCTGTTGGCATTATCAAGGTGCGGAAGAATTCTGGCTTCAGAAGGACAATATTGTCGTTGTCCTTCTTGCCCTGGTCGTGATCGGCTCGCTGACTCAAGAGGTCGGCCTTTCTGTTGGCTGCTCCTGGTTTGTGATTGAGCATGAAGTGGTATTCCACTAACTCAGTAACCCACTGCACTTGTCTGCAGTTGAGTTTTTGAGGTTTGCGGAAGTATTGCAGATTCGAGTGATCTGTCCAGATTTCAAAATCTTGATGGGCACCCATAAGGTAATGTCGCCATTCTTCCAAGGCGATCATTATTGCTAGCAATTCCTTATCGTAAATCTTGTAGTTCCGTTCCATCGCGGAGAGAGATTTGGATAGGAATGCGATCGGGCACCATTTTCCTTCCTGTTCCTGTGACAGGACGGCTCCAGTTGCCCCTTCGCTGGAGTCCACCTCCAAGCAAAACTTGTTGTAGTCGTTTGGCATCGCCAATATAACTCCCATTGCAAATTGATGTTTGAGTTCCTCAAACACCTCTTGTTGTTCCTTTCCCCACATCCAAGGGTTCTTCCCTGTGAGTTTCATCATTGGTTTGACGATTGCGCTGTAATGCCAGATAAATCACTGGTAGAAATTGGTGAATCCCAGGAATGATTGCAGTTCCTGCTTCTTGGAGGGTGCCGGCCAGTCCATGATACCAGCGATTTTAACTGGGTCCATTCTAATGGATCCCTCACTGATGATGACCCCAAGGTACTCAGTCTCGAGTACCTCAAATTCGCACTTTTCTGCTTTCAAGAACAGTTTGTTCTTTCGCAGAATCTTTAGGACTTCCTGCACAATTTTTTGGTGTTCTGCCTTATCTTTGGTGAAGATGAGGATGTCATCCAAATAAATGGTGACCTTTCCCTGAGCAATGAGATCTTTAAAGATATCATTCATCATCGACTGGAATGTGGCAGGCAAATTGGTCAGCCCAAAGAACATAACCATGGGCTTGTAGAGTCCTTGGTTAGTGCAAAACACAGCTTTGAATTCATCTCCCTTTTTGATTCGGACGTTGTTATATCCCCAGTGAACGTCTAGCTTGGTGAAATACCTCGCATCCTTTAGTTTTTCCATAAGGTCAGAGATAAGTGGTAAAGGATAGCGATTTTTGATGGTTATTTCATTAAGCTTGCGGTAATCCTGTACGGGCCGCAACTTTCCATCCTTTTTCTTAACAAAGAAAAAGGGAGACGCCATGGGGGATTTGGAGGGTCAAATTCGGCCAGTGGCTAGGTTCTCATCCAGGAATTTGTCCAGTTCCTCTTGCTCCCTTGGGTTCAAGGGGTATATCTTGCAATCCAGACTGGCACTGGCGTTGGGAATCAGCTCAATGGCATGATCGCAAGGTTTGCGAGGGGGGAGTTCATCAAAGTTTTCCTTCGCGAATACATTGATGAAGTCCCGATAATGTTTGGGGACAATTTCCTCGAATGTTTTTGTTTTCTTTCCCTTGTTGGCCTTGGCTGCTAAGTCATTGGCTTTATGCCCCACCGCTCATATGTGAAAGGCTTCTTTGAAGTCTATAATGAGGATGGTGTCCCCATCCTCGACTTCGGTTCCCCACTGTTGTTCTGGATCTTCATCTGGGAGGTGGAACGGTACTTTGCGGCAATCGCATCGTGCCAAAGTTACCGAGCCCATATTCCAGTCGATAAGTGGGTTGTGCCTTTGTAGCCAGTCATGTCCTAGGAAGATGGGTGTGGTTCCTAGGTCAATGACTGCTAATTCGATATGTTTGCTGTGGTCCCCAATCTTGAGTCGGACTTCAGTGAATTCAGTGATGTCGCCACCTTTGTTGCGGGTACCATCTGCATTGTAGACCAGAGTGGGGTGAGCCGCTTTATGCGTGGTAATACCACGATCACAGGTCCACTGTCAGTCAATAGTGCTTCTGGTACAGCCACTGTCGATCAGGGCCTTCGCAGAGTGATGGGTCATAGTATCAAAGGTTTCTAATTGTAGGGTGATGGTGATATTTTGCCCTTTCGCTCCATGGACATACTGGGGTGGTTTGGTAAGCTGGTCCATATGTTCCAGCTTTCCGTATTCGTCTAGGTAGGACTCCCCGACTTGGTATTCCAAGTTGGCAGCTAGTGGCTCATCCACCTCGGATAGTTGCTGAGGGTGGATCCACTGCTTGAGAAGTGACACCTTCTCTCCTGGAGTCTTGGCGAATCGCATAGCTCGCCGGTACCAGGTGGCTCCGAAGGGCTTCAGCCATTCGAAGTCCTGAGAGTACTCCACCGGTGTTGGCGGTACTGGGGTCTTCCTCTCGTCGTCGCAGTCCATAGGCCGCAAAGGCCCTGCTCCTATAACTGTGCGACCAGTCAGTTCCTTTTCACCTTGGTGCGGACACCCACTCGGGTTAGTTGGGACTTCATTGGATTTTGAAGAGTTCCATAAACTCTTTAAATAACTAGGATCGCTTTTGCCGTTAGCATAATCTTTAAAGGGGAGATGTACCTGAAATGGGGAGTCTCTCTCCCCTGTTTGACCCGCTTGTTCCTTGTGGGCGATTGAGCTTTTTCAGCCGGTGTCCTCTGTGATAGAGGTGGCCGCTCCTGGGTTATCCTTTCTACTTGGTTCCATGTGTGGTGCTGGGTTATTTCCAGAGGCTTTACAACAGTCCGCCATTGGGTCTGCTGGGCTCCGACGGCCCTCGGCCTCGTCCCTAGGCTCGCCTGGATTCCCTGACCTCACCATCACTGAAGTGGTCTGTCATCGGGGAATCTTGATGCGCAGAGAAGATGCCAGTTCACCATTGTCTGGATCCACTGCCACTATACACAACTTTCCCAGGAGTTGGACTACATAGTCCTCATCTTGACCTCCCGTATGGCAGACGTCACCCGCAGGGAACAATGACATCGCACCCCCAAGGTTCCACCCTTGGTTGCCTGTTGAACTGGTAGGCTCCTCTGCATCGTACATGCGCCCCAAAGGGGTATTTGCAGTGGCTTGGACACAGCAGGTACCGTCAGCACTAGGACTTGGCTGATGGGGTTCATTGCTAGTTAAAGCAGCGGAAATCCCGTGTATGCTGTTAGTGGGCAAATTCGAGGGTCCCCCTCCTGCTTTTATGCAAGCGTCAGGCAGAGAGGACAGGCGTGAGGAGCCCTGTCAGTCCTGGGCTTCGTTCCTGGTCATGCCTGGACTCTTGATCTGTTGATTGAGAACTCATTCCAGGTTCTTGATCGAACAATCGAGAGTTGCTTCTGGATCCTCGATCGTCTGATCGAGATCCGTCCTGCACTGGTACGGCCTCGAGCTACTTGTCAGGTCCGACTCTTTCGTGCCCGACCCTCGGGGTTCATTGCCTGGTGGGCGGTGGTAATCCTCTGATACACTGTTCTTGTTTTGCGATTCCTTCATAGTGCGAGATGAATGCAATGTATTGTTACAAGTATCTACAGATACAGCATAAGTACGAATATCCCTGTCATAAGACGCACCATGATAAACCCCAGCCGACAAAGTAGAATCGCAGAGTCCTATGCTGGCGTCTCTTTTACCTCCTCAATCTCTGTTGAGCTAGCAAGGTCTTCTTCCTCTATTTCTGTTAGAATGGCTCGGAGACGGGTTGCAAAAGTCGATGGCTTTTTCTTTGGGAATTTCAGCCACTTTGACTTGTTGGGCGGACACTTATTGTCCCGCCCCTGATGTCCAGTGTGTCCGCACCGGAAACATTGCTTTTCTCTTTTGAGATGATCGATATCCATAGGTTCGCCTTCACCGCTGTAGGTGAATCCAGTAGCATCCCTTCTGCCCTTCAAGCCACTCGAAGAGCCTCCCGCTGTTCTGGGCTTGGAACCAGCGGTCCCACTGGGATACTTCCTGCCTTGTGCGAGATGAACTCGATAGTTCTCATCCATTTGTAGGACCCTGCACCTCCACTCCCAGTAAGTGGTAGGCCGCATATTGTCTCTGCCCATAATGATCTCCTTGACCCTGGGTCAGATTGCAAGGGCAATGACCTCCTCCATTTCTGCG